TTTTCCTGACAATACTAAGCTATCAATCCTATTAACTCTTAGGAGTTGAACTTGAGCATTAAGCACCGTTTGAGTTTGGAACTATTATTCTAAAAAACAATAATTATTTAGTAACACTAATATTTCTTCAATAAATAGTTTGACCATAGTTTGATCAGATTTGACCACAGTTTGACCAAAAGTCAAAAAAATAAAAAATAAATTATTAACACTAATATTTCTTGAATAGTAGTTTGACCAAATTTAACGAAAAGTAAAAAACCCTGAAATTTGAGCATATCTTTTTTTTTCCTTTTAGAATTTAAGGATTCTAAAAATTTGCAAACAGGCTGGGGGGGGGTAGAATTTGACCAGATATATTATGCATTTTTTTTGATATCGTATGCAAAAGATATGGCCGTTTTACTTTTTCATAACACTTTTTTTGCAAAACATGTCCAAATTTAAGTTTTTTTAGTTTTCCTAACTAATAGATGTAGTAACATAACTACATCTCGAAGGATTTTAATTTTTGAAGTTTTTATCATTTTCTTTTGCTTTTTACAAAACTGAAAAGGCGATCCATGGCGAGGGGGAGGGGGTGGGTAGAGTTTGAAAATGGGACCTTTAGTCCCGGTTTGAGACACGAACCGGGACTAAAGGGCATCGTACCCTTTAGTTCCGGTTCGTGTCTCAAACCGAGACTAATGGTCTAACCTTTAGTTCCGGTTTGAGACACGAACCATTAGTCCCGGTTTGAGACACGAACCGGGACTAAAGGGTGCGGCCCTTTAGTCCCGGTTCGTGTCTCAAACCGGGACTAAAGGTCTCATTTGAACCGGGACTAATGCCTTCCCGGCGCCTTAGCCGCTCGAACCGGAACTAATGCTCACATTAGTCCCGGTTCGTGATGCAACCGGGACTAATGTGTATAGGGAGCTGTGACCAAAGCCCTGTTTTCTACTAGTGCCTGAGTCATCCCTTGACAAAGTTTGTGTTCTTAGCTGCGGCATCTCAACTCGTAAGAGATGGCTCCTCATGCCATTGTTTCCAAATGAAACACAATGATCAGGGTGCTTCCATTAGTTGCTGAATTGTGATTTTTCTGCAGGACTTGGTGCTACCCTCAATGTCGCGAAACCGAAAAAGGGTTCGACGGTGGCCATTTTCGGTCTTGGAGCCGTAGGCCTTGCTGTGAGTGACGTTCCAAGATGTTTTTGTTCTACGCCATAATTTTGCAGGCCGAAGAGAATTATTTGCTACAACCATGACTGTTTACCGTGTGCTTCTCACATTATCAGGCCATGGGAGGAGCCAAGATGGCTGGGGCATCAAGGATCATTGGTGTTGATTTGAACCCTGCAAAATAAGAAATTTGGATGGAACACTGAACATCATGTACATTATTCTTAATGATTTTTTTTAAACTCTTAATAAATATTTTTGATGAAGGGGAGCCTTGGCGCAGTGGTAAAGCTGCTGCCTTGTGACCATGAGGTCATGGGTTTAAGTCCTGGAAACAACCTTTTACAGAAATGTAGGGAAGCTACATGCACCGGGCTGCCAATAAATATTTTTGATGGAACACTGAACATCATGTACATTATTTTTCAGCTAAGAAATTTGGATGCACCGACTTTGTGAACCCAAAGGACCACACCAAGCCCGTACAAGAGGTCTGTTCATGTCCCTCAGTGCACATTTTCCCCTTTGTTCATTCTTCATGACATGCACAAGCCTGTGCCAAAAAACTCACTGTTAAATGTTGCTCTCCACTCTCCAGGTGCTTGTCGAGATGACCAATGGTGGAGTCGACCGTGCGGTTGAGTGCACTTGCCACATCGACATGATTGCCGCCTTCGAATGTGTCCATGATTTACGTAACTCTCGATATACCTACATATAATCTGTAGTCCAATGATAATTAGGTACCACTTGGAATGAGTGGTTCGCTATCTTGAAAAAAAAGTCAACAATGATACTCCCTCCGTTCCTAAATGTAAGTCTTTTTAGATATTTTAAATGAACTACAACATACAGATATATGTAGACATATTTTGGAGTGTAGATTCATTCATTTTGCTCCGTATGTAGTCATTTGTTGAAATATCTAAAAAAACTTACATTTGAGAACGGAGGGAGTACTTAGTTGTATACTCTTTTGAGAGTTCAGACTGAATGTTGAAATCTGCTGGATGCAGGGGTGGGGCGTGGCGGTGCTGGTGGGCGTCCCGCACAAGCCATGAACTTCATCAATGAAAGGACCCTGAAGGGCACCTTCTTCGGCAACTACAAGCCTCACACCGACCTCCCGGAAGTCGTCTGGGATGTATAGAGGAAGGAGATGGAGCTGGAGAAGTTCATACGCATAGCGTGCCCTTCTTGCAGATCAACACGGCGTTCAACTTCATGCTCAAGGGGGAGCGAGGATGCACGAGTAGATCGCCTCTTATTCGGCATGTGTCTCGCTGTTTTAAGATTTGGAGATGGACAGAAGTACCGCCCGACCAGGAATTACAGAGCTGTCTGTAACATTTCGGAATCGTTGATTTAGAATGTTTACTCCCATAAAAACACGTTATGATTTCAAGCAGTAAATGCTATCTCAGGACAAGTTCAATTATTATTTTTGAAGGAACTCACGAATTTTCCTGCCACCAAATAAGCCGCAAGTGTTACAAGCGTGCTTGCACAACATCTTGACAGACCTTTCGTCAGGAAAGATGGCACGTCTCGGATAGTGCCCGAGTGATTCTGGGCAACGACAAGGGTGGTGATCTTTGCATGAAGTAAAACCAACGTGTAGCGACTCAACCTGCACGCCATACTCAAAGAGCGCTTTTACGGTAGAGACAAATGAATATTAACCGTGGCTCCAACTTGATCTAATGGGCCAGATCTTCCGATAGTGGTAGGCCACAGGAATACCCCGGAAAATAAAAGCAAAATAAAAATCACGGATGTAAGATACCCACATGGCCACTCAATGGACGGCTGATCTGCCCCATTAATTACTGCTGCCTCTTTTCCGGAAAAAAATTCAATCTATTAATCAAAGCAGTACAAAGAACATTTTTTTAAATAACATATATTACGTCCAGATTCGTAGACCACCGACAGACAATTACAATTACATGATCAAGCCGAAGCTGTCATCACCCCTCCCTCACTGGAGCTGGGCAAACTTTGTTGTAGTAGATAGTCGAAAAGTCGTCGTGCTAAGACCCCACATGATCAGCACGTCAGAATAGCAACTGTCATCGATGAAGAGAAGCGTAGATTGAAAGGATCCAACATGCAAACACACAAATATAGACGAACAAAGACCAGATTAAACTAGATGGACCGAAGACAAATACAAACTGAACCCCGCAAGATCCACCTGAGACACACCTTCACATGCCTTCCGACCACGCTAGAGGCACCACCGGGGCGAGGGCTAGGCGGGGAGAACCTTATTCCATCTTTAGGGAGCCGCCACCCTCCATCACCCTCTGACTCTTACCACACCTTTATCAAACATTCGCTCCTTTCAAAGAACCTCTTTATGCCTTGTTCGGTTAAACCTCTCTTGGAGAGGATTGAAGAGGTTTGGAGGGGATCAAGAGGGAATTTGATTTGTAGGGGATTTAATCATCTTCAATCCACTCCAATCCCCTTCAAACCCCTTGCAACCGAACAAGCGCTTAAGAGGTTAAGCGCCATTCACTGATGTGTTAACACTTCAGAAAAACAGTTGCTGTTTTTTCATATTTCACACCAATACTAATACAGGACAGCTTTACTTGTATGTTCTGATATACAGTATCTAACTATCTGAGGCAAATATTTTCGTACATAATTTTCTTAAAGGCCAACCATGTAACCACATCTAAATTTCAGTTTGAAACATACCTCAGTGTCTTACCGCACGAGGTCCAAACACCACTAAGTGTTTACTGGGAAGCTGCAACTGAGTAGGGGGAAGCTGAAATTTGAATATATATTTTAAGTGACAAAAGAGGTAGAAACCTATACATACACTAACACAGCAATTGCAGTACTGTAATGGTAGGCGTGCTTTACAGCAGTTCGTGGGGAACACAGGTTCGACCTCCAACATAATAGTTTTACATTTTCTTCACATGGAACTAGTAGTGATGCTTCTAGGAGTCAAACCCGTGATATATACTGAACACGGCAGTTCATTATATAGTTAATACCTCCAATTCAAATTAACTCGGATTTTTTCAGACGGCAAGGGTGGCAGAGTGCTTTACCGGAGGGGGTCAGTAAACGTGGTTAGTATCGGTGATCGTAGTAAATCGGACGGTAACCAAATCCTTGGTTGCCACTGCCTGAGTGCGCACCATAGTAATATGAGTTACCCGCAGGGTATTGCTGTGAATTCCCATGGTGTCCGGCTCCACGCCAGTTGTTGAAGTATGGATGGGGTGCCTGCAAACAGAAACTTCTAATTAATTTAACTGTAGGTAACAGGACAAAAGTGGTACAACGTAGCAGACATAAATAATTCCAACTTTGCAACCTATTATATGACATTGAATTAGATTCAAACTTATTCGACTATTTAGTTCTTTTTGGAATCCTTAGCATATTTACAAACATGGTGCCCATGATTTCTTGAATCTTCTAATCATACAACACAACGAGATTGTCTTTTCTACAGCTGCAGGTCAAATGAGGACATGGGATCGTATCATAAGCTTCACGATTTTCTTACCACGTGAGGTCCAAATGCCCTGCTAGGTGCCATCTGCTGCTCCGGTAGTAGTGGCTGCTGCCACAACGATTGATAGTTGCCGTAGCTATGTATGTTAGGGGCAGGGGCCGACGGTGCATACACAGGGTTGCAGGGTCGAGTGAAGTTGTTGAAACATTGTGGCAGCGGCTGCAGTGGCACATTCTAATTAATGTTGCTGTATGATGATTAAAATGGACACATGTGAAACAGGGCATATGAAATACAGCATACCGGATTGTTTTGAGGGGGGCATGATGAGTACCCACCGTAGCCAGGCCCCTCCCACCTGTTGAAGCATGGTTGTGGAGGCTGGAAATGACACGACGTATTAATCTTGGTCTTTGACACATAGGAAACGAAACATACTGGATTCAGCATACCATATTGTTTTGATCAGGACAGGCTTGTGAGCTATGAACATTCCGTACAGTACTCTGAGCTAAATTTTGTGCATGGTTGGCTTTCTCAGCCAATAGCCTGAGGAACAACAAAACTAATTATATGGAAGACCTCCAATATGTGCAAAAACAAATTAGCATAGCATTCAGAACATTGAATGGTTTGACATTTAAAACAGATCATCGTTGCAAAGATCTTCAAAGAACAGAGTTCTTATAACAGAGTAAGAAACCTGCCTTGGACGTTTGTTTTCAGGTTCATAGGAATCAGGCTCGCCGACACAGATCTATGGACACAAGAGAGGAAACTTCAGCAGGTTGGAATTTTTTGAAATATGAAAACTAGTACATGATAGAAAATACTTACAGCTGCATTATTTGGCTCATTTGCAGAGCTGCTTGTCTGTGCGGTCTGAATTGCTGAGAATTTAATGCCTAGAAAAGACAGATAAACTCATAAGCAATGCCATAGTCATAAACAGGTATTCAGTAGTGCTCAAGCTATTTTATTCTTTCATTTTTGCAGACTCGGATGGGGTGCAAAATAGCACGCAGCTTGTAAATATCCACACGCCCATGCATAGAACAATTTGAATTTCTTTGATAAGCATTAGTGCAGCATTAATTTCTATCTGCACTGTAAGTTGATAAAATCTAGCTGTCCAGCACAGATTAGGATTGGATTCTACAGTGTAAGTATGAATCAGCAGGGAGTAGACCATTACGCAAAAAAATAAAAACAATTTATACAAGATTAACATGTAGCCATAAAGACAAGGTAGGAAAACCAGATAGCCCTATTTCTCACAGTAGAAATCACAGAGTATCATATGTAGCTCTAAACACCCTAACAAAGATATGCACAGCGTGGAGCATAAAAAGGTAGCAGCAAACAAGATAATTCGCCAGCCGCATTGTGCGTAGACACTGAAAGGGTCACGAGCATGTTGATAACAAGAGCAAGTGAACAATTACCTGGAGTCATTTTTAGATGGTTCACCAATGCACAGGGAAGGAACATTTGAAACGAAGGAGAATATTCTCCAAAAGGGTGCGCCCCAGGTGCTTCCACTTTCATCAGTGTTTTCTCCTTAAGATCAACCGCAACCACCCATCGATATGAATCAATCATTTTCCTTGATGACTTGAGGTATAGGATGTCATTACCATCTGTGCTGAGGGTGGGGCAAGCCGAGTACATGTTCTTGAATGTCAAGCTCCCAGCGGATTCGTTCCTTTGGCCAGACAGTAAGGCTGAAAACGCCGAATCATCGACCAAAATGTCATCAACGTCAACAATGACTCCCTTGAGCCAACAGTCAGACCCAATCTCCCTAGTCCATGTCATGGCACTCCAACCATTCATTGTGTGCAGCGTCTTGGGCTTGTTGTCCACATGTTTGCGCTTGTAGAGCATGATCAAGTCAGAATCATAGAGCACAGTCTTGTCCCTGGGGTCAGACGGCTTTTCAGGAGGAACCTCTACAATCTCTGTTACAGTGACGCGGTGTTCCATCTCAACAAACTTGATCAGACCATCGACACAGGCGACATCCCGATAACGCCTGATGGCAGCTCCCGGGATTAACTGCTTCAAAATCTGTTCTCTGTTTCTAGGCAATGGCTCAGGCAATGGGATGTAGCGCGCGTGAAGGGGTTCTCGTTCTTGAAGTATGTCACACACCAGCATCCCGCACAGCAAATCGACCCACACCAGCACGCCATCTCGGAGCAGCATCACCTTGTCTGGTGCAATCGTAAGGACCCGAGGACATGGATTGAGCAGTTCCTTGGTCCTCCATGCTCTGTCCTCGGACGAGTAGATGTGAAGCCGGTAATCCTTCAAGGTCGCCGCGTAACAGAGCGCAATCAGGAGATAATGGTCGCCGTCGCCGCGGGGCACGATTCCGAACTCGGTACCTCCGCATCCGCTCAGCCTATCATCATCGGGAAGCGGCACGCTCTCGAGGGACGGGGACCTGGGGTCGCCCTTGTAGATGAAGTATTCAAACTCGTCGTCGCCGGAAGCGAAGAAGGTGCGGACGAGAACGAATCGGCCCTCCGCGCCGACCACGTGTGGCTGAACTTGCAAGTCGGCGGCGTCCTCGGAGTCGGAGGTGGGGGGCTTGGAGCAGTGGAACGTGTAGAAGGACACCGCCGGCGGGTCGGCGACCCAGAAGGTGAGCTCCACGGTGTGGTCGACCCTCGATTTGGCTGTGGCCGTGGTGTGGTTCCTGCTGACGGCGCCGTACGCCTCCTGGGCGAGGAGAATCGACGCCGGCCACGGGGAGGCGTCGCCGGGGGAATCGACCGAGGCGCGGTCGGCCGTCGATTCGGACGCCATCGAGTTTCGGATTTCGGCCGGGTGTGTTGGGGATTGAAGGAGGCGCTCGAGGATTTGGGGGTTAGGGTTACCTCTCCGTTTCCTTCGCGAGCAACTTGTATCAGAATACGGGAGGCGATTTGGAGTTGAGCATCTGCTGCAGAGCTCTTTTTTCCCAATAAAAAAACAGATATTGAAAAAGTTATGCCAAAAACCATCATAATATGTGAGAAACTATTGCGGAGCCCCAATATTAACAGCTCAATTTCCCCACTATTTTCACTTGGATGACATGATTGATATTGTTATGTGTACATGCTAAAATATTTCCAAATTTTTTGAACACTTGTAGTGTGATTTTAGACCTTCGGTGCACCGATAGCACCACAAGGCTGGGTTTACTGGATACGTTCCCAACCCTCACCACTGGCCTCACTTCATTAACCGAAGAACAACGGTATGTACTCAGCACTCACCAACCTATAAATGACTCTCCACCTTGCTTTGCATGGATCACCACCAAGAACCTTCAGTCCTCTAAACCCTGAGTGCCGGCTGAGATGAGTGAAAACAAATTGGAAGTTACACGTTTTTGTTCTTCTTTTCTTGCTATTATATGGATGATAAGCCAAGATCTCTATGATTTTAGTTTGTTATGTTTTTATTTAGGTTCTTGCCATCAAGAAACAATTGGAGTTCTAGGAAGGAATGGTGCCCTTCCCTCTAAATCCTGAGTGCCGGCCAGTGGGTGGCGTCGCCGGGGGAATCGACCGAGGCGCGGTCGGCCGTCGATTCGGACGCCATCGAGTTTCGGATTTCGACCGGGTGTGTTGGGGATTGAAGGAGGCGCTCCTCTCCGTTTCCTTCGCGAGCAACTTGTATCAGAAGTTCAAAACCAAGGAAAATACGGAAGGCAATTTGAGTTGAGCATCTGCTGCAGATCTCTTTACCCAATTAAAAAAAAGGGAGTGCCTAGAACTCATCTAGATAATATTTAAAATGGTCTCATTCAGGTGACATGTAGATGACATCACTGTTTGTTGTTCCAGGTCGTTTTTGTTTCAGGCTGAACCATAGTTTGTTTGTTCAATGGGCCAATGTTGGCGGGCTGATCATCGTGCCTTCGTGTGGGCTATTTTAGTTAGTTTGTCTGTGCGGTTGTCTGTGGGTTGTGACTTGTGAGCCTTTTTAGTTTTTTTCTTGGGCCCGTGTACAACGACAAAAGTTCTTTATTGTTTGACGTTGACGAGGGAGCCTAGAAACATGGAGCAGCTAAGCCCGTACTCTGGTTTTGTGAGCATTTTCCCATTTTCCCTTGTTGCAAAACCTCCATTACAATAAGACCCAACATCTCCACCCTCTTCTATGTATTCCTGCAACAAGACTATTGTTGCAAAAACTTGTAAAACGCCGATGGCTGCAACGGAGAGAGCACCTCGTGGTCTCTGAAGCACCCGCATTTTTATGACGGAGGAAGGACGCCAGTGGCGGTCGCCGATATGGTGGGGTTGCAACAACGTGTTTGTTTGAGAAGAGGTGGGGATGAGAATATGAGATCCATGGAAATAGGCAGGGGATGGAGAGATAGAGGTAGGGGATAAGAGGGTCAACAGGAGAATGTGCGGCTGTTACGGTATGCCTTTCGAAACAGGTGCCCAGTTGTAAGAATTAAAGTATGAAGCGCTCTACAACATGAGATGAGATCCAGAAAGAGGTTCGATTCAACGCATGGATAGGAGAGAGATATATATGTAGCCATTTTGGTGCAGATGGGGATGAAAGAGAGTAGCTGTGTGCTGGCCCATCAAGACGCATGTCAAGCATAGAAGGTGGCGAACGTGAGATAAAAGATCCGAAATCACTAATTAAGGAGTATTCCTTGCAGAGATCACTCCAACTCACCCAGTTTGTGACAAGTGGCGCGCTGCATGTGCGCCACTTGTCGCAACCTGAGAGTTTTCCCTTTTTTCGTAGATCCATTTATTCAAAACGTTTTATCTCTTAAATCGTGCGTCTAAATCTCGAACCGCTTTCGCCGTTGGATTCCACGCGTCGAGATCTTCAAAACTAGATCCCATGTTGATAAGTTTTGACGAACTTTTTTTCACACAAAAAAACGAACGAAAAAACCGAACCGGAAGCACGAGTTTTTTCCCTTTCCGAAAAAGGCACGGCCGTGCCTCTGACGAAATCACAACCGTGCCTCTCGCGGAAGCAAAACCGTGCCTCTTGCGAAAGAAAAAAATAGAAACTGCGTTTTTTTTTCATTTCCAAGGAGGCACGACCGTGCCTCTCCAGAAAGCACAACCGTGCCTCTCGCGGAAGCAAAAATGTGCCTCTCGCGAAAGAGAAAAAAAACATGTTTTTTTTTATTTCCAAGAGGCACGGCCGTGACTCTCGCGAAAGCACAACCGTGCCTCTGGCGAAAGAAAAAAAAACAGAAAACGCGTTTTTTTCGTTTCCAAGAGATACGGCCGTGTCTCTCGCGAAAGCACAACCGTGTCTCTCGCGAAAACAAAACCGTGACTCTCGCAAAAAAAATACAGTTTTTTGCGATTTTTTTTTTGAAAATTTTGTTTTAGTCGAAAAGCTAGGGAAGATCGGTGAAAAACCAAAACGTCAAAAAAAACCCAAAAAAAACTGTTTAAAAAGCCAAAAACGCGTGCAAAAAAATAAAAAAATAAAATCCGGAGGGAGCGTCAAGAGCGTGACACGTGGCGAATGGCTAAGAGCGCGTAAAGTGACGCTGATCGTTGCAAGGCTCCCGAAGGAGCGCTCATTAATTAGTTGCTCCCCAAAAGATCCGCAGGTAGACCACTAGCTTTTCCCATATTAACAGCTTAATTTTCCCATTATTTTCAACTTGGATAACGACACTAAAAAAATTTGGCCGTGGTGTCTTTTCTGGGCATTATATTCATGTAGGTGGTCTAATAAAATGCTAAAAGTTCTGTTCTCGGAGCTATAATGTTGGGTCCTCCGTGCGATGATGCGTTTGGACCAACTGAACATTTACCAAGTGCAAGCCGTGAGGCGTAAGCCGTTTGGGTCCCCGGCTCACATGCGCGATTTTGACGATACATGGGCTCAAAACATGTTATACTACATGAGGCTGACGTGCTGTTCATTTTACTGTTGATTCTGTTAGGAAAAATTCCAAAACAAACCTTAAATTTGTCGGCGAAAGCTAAATCAAACCCTAAACTCTCAGTCCCTGAAATCAGCACACCAAATTCCTATATCCCGGTCTATTTTAAACCTTGAGAGGACTTAGCCGGTATTTGCTGAATTAACGTCGCTCGCGCTCGCGCACTGCTCTGGGTTTTCTTTATTTTTTTCCTTTTTTTCTTTTCTCTTTTTTACTGATGTCTATTTTTTCTTCTTATCCAATGTACATTTTTAACGCACACTTAAAATATTTTTTGATAAACTTTTGATACTTCCATATACATTATGCACATTTTTAAACTAAATGTTTTCATTTTTTTAGTACATGGTTATATTTTTTCCAAATGCATGTTTACATTTTCTTAATGACAATAAATATTTTATAAAACCAAACGAACACTCTTCTGCATGGTTCAACATTTTTAAATATGTAGACACTTTTCTCAAACACATGCCAAGTATATTCTGTTAAATGTAGGACACAATTTTTTAGAACACGCACACTTTTTCTTTACATCGTACACACATTTTTGTTTGAAAATGTCACGAATACATTTTTTGAAACTCATGAACATTATTGAAATGCTACATTTTTTTGAATGTACGAAACATTTTTTTGAATCACACAAATATTATTATACATTATATAAACATTTGTTTGAATTGGTCCATACATTTTCTTAAAACCTGCGATATTTTTAGATGTCACAAAATATTTTCTTACAATTTGTTCACATTTCAAAATTTGTTCCTATTTTTTAAATTTTCAAAAAACATTCACACATTAAAATTATGTTTATGATTCAAAAAGTGTTCGCACTTAAATTTTCTGTTCAGCTTTTAGAAAAGAAAAGGCTCGCTTCATGTCTGGTTGGCCGGCCCAGACGAGTACGTAGCCAACGATCCGAAACATTTTCTAAAAAAATTATTTATAAAATTATAAAAACATTATTTATAAAATGTGACACAACTTTTGAAAATGCGAAACATTTTCATAGCATGTGAAAAACTGTTGAAACTCTGAACATTTTTAATAGTTGTTTTTAGAATCACAAACAGCTTTTTAAAATGCGAATAGAATTTCAAAATTCCAGAAAAAAATTCAAAACACAAAATGAATTAAATTTGTGCAATAAATAGAAAACAGGAATATTTTTTAACTGCTGGAAAATTTAGAAATGCGCGAATATATTTTAAAGTTCATGATTTCTTATTGTATTATAGTGGGCCGGCCCAAATTCTGAGTAGCAGGTTATTCCCGGTGTGCCAAACAGGTCTAGGGTCCAAAATAGACCGGAATTACAAGTTCAGAGTGCCAATTTCCAGGATTCAAAGTTCGAGGTTTGATTTAGCTTTCGTCTACAACTTCAAGGTTTGTTTTGGACTTTACTGTTGATTTTGACGATACATGGGCTCAAAACATGTTATACTACATGAGGCTGACGTGTTGTTCACTTTACTGTTGATTCTGTTACTGTTAGAGCATCTCCAACAGACGCCTTAAAAATGCCTCACGCATTAAAAATCATTGTTTTTTGGTCGGAGACAAGAAAACAGCGCTTCAACAGACGTTGTAAAATAGAGCATGCACAAAAAACTTTAGCGCATGGGTGTGCGTGCAGGCTGCTGGGCTATAAATTTACGGCGTCGGATTGTGCGTGCAGGCTGCTACAGGTGGGGCCACCGGATTGGTCACCGTGTTTTTGTGCATCTCAAAAATCTTTTCATCGCTTCCACGCGCAAAAAGACTATTTTAGCACCGTAAAAGAATTATAGCGACAACTCATTTTTTTCGAGAAATTTCTAATCTATTCATAATCAATCATGGCAGTACAAAAGAGCTCTAGAGGTAA